TGAAACCCCTAACCTGCCCCCAGTACTCCCCAGTATGTCCCTAACACCCCCCCAATCTGCCCCACTCACTCGATGAGGTCAGAGAGGCCGCTGTAGATGTCATCATCCCCAATGCAGTCCTCGGTAGGGAAGGGCCTGGGGGGGACACACAGCCCAGATGCCTGGGTCCCTCAGGGACCTGACGCCTGGGTCCCTTTGGGGAGGGGGCTCAGACGCCTGGGTCCTCTGCACTCACGTGAAGCCTTTGCTCTGGGCGATGGGGGTCCAGGAGAGCGTTGAGAGGGTGTCAATCACCTGGGGACAGACAGGGGGACATTTTATGTGTGTGTGTGGGGGTGGAGCCGGACACCTGGGTCCCTCCAGGTCTGACCCAGACACCTGGGTCCCACCTTGCCGAAGTCTTGGACGTCAAAGAGGTCAAAAGCGCCGAAGAGCCGGTGCTTCGGGAGCCCAAACTTGTCGGCGCAGGCGGTCAGGAAGGTGCGGATGTTCCTCAGGCACAGGAACTGTGGTAGCACCGCATCACCATCACCAGCACCATCACCACTCCCCCCTCCGTTGTCACCCCTATCATCTCTATCACACCCATTGTCACCATCGCCATCATTGTCACCACCACTGTCATCCCCATCAGCACCATCAGCCCCATCATCTTCCACCATTTGTGACCACCGTTGTCACCACCATTGACACTGGCACGTCCATCATCTCCGTCACCAACACTGTCATCATCTCTGTCACCCCCATCATCATCACCAACACTGTCACTGTCACTCCCATTAGCACCGTCACCACCATCATCACCATGATTGTCACTGTCACCAACACCATCATCACTGTCCTCCTCACTGGCACCAGCACCATCATCATCACCACCATTGTGGTCATGGCCATCATCACCCCCATGGTCACCGTCACCATCAACATCACACCCATCGACACCATCATGGTCACCCCCATCATCACAAACATCATTGTCACCACTGTCACCATCACTGTCACCATCACTGTCATTCTCATCATCCCCATTGTCAACAGCATTGTCTATTGGTACCATCACCATTATCCCCATTTTCACCATCTGTCATTGTCACTATCAGCCCTGTTGTCAGTGTCATCATCATCCCCATTGGCACCAGCATCACCACCATCATCATCATCACCCCCACTGTCACCATCACCACCATCGACCCTGTCATCATTGCCATCACCCCCGTTGCCATCAACCTCATTCACACCAGTGCTGTCATTGTCACTGTCACCATCATTCCCACTGGAACCAGCACCCCCATACCCTTTCCTGGGGCAATTATCCCCCCCCCCCCCCAGTTACCCCACCCAGGGGCAGTTCCACTCCCCTGGTGAGTATTTGCCCCTGGTCGCACCTGTGACATCTGGGGACGGGGACAGATGTCGCGGGGGGGCACGGCGCGGGGCAGCAGGGCGTTGAGGAGGTGGCAGAGCAGCACCCCGTCCCGCAGCGCCTGCGCCAGGTCCCACACCTGCCCCGCGGGGCTGCTCGCCCGATGCCCTGCGGGAAGCACCCGTGCCGCCACCAGCCAGTGGGCACACTGCCGCCATGCCTCCATGGCGCCTGCTGACTGGGGGAGACTATGGCGATGGAGTGCCGGTGGGATGGTGACGAGGGAGGAACCAATGGAGATGGGTCCAGGTGGGACCACTTCTGGGGAGGAGTCGATGGAGATGAGGTTCTGGTGGGACCACTTCTGGGAAGGAGCAGCAGAAGATGAGGTCTTGCAGTGCAACTACTTCTGGGGAGGAGCCAGTGGAGATGGGTCCTGGTAGGACCACTCCTGGGGAGGAGAGGCAGAAAATGAAGTCCTGCAGTGCAACCGCTTCTTGGGAGGTTCCAATGGAGGTGAGGCCTTGGTGGGACCACGTCCGGTGAGGAGCTGACGGAGGTGAGGCCCTGGTGGGATGACTTCTGGTGAGGAGGAGCTGATGGAGATGAGTCTTCGACCACTTCTGGGGAGGCTCCTACAGCAAGGGGGGTCTTTCCCCGCCAAGAACCACCACGTCTGGGGAGGAGCTGGTGGCGATGGGGCCCCACGGCGCAGCCGCCGGCGGCGAGAAGCGGCTGGCGTCGGTCTCCTTCCCACCACTACTGTCACGCCTGGAGAAGACCGGGTGCCGATGGGCTCCTTCCCCGCCCGGCACACCCACGTCTGGGGAGGGTCCGGTGGCCTTGGGGACCCCCAGGTACAGGCGGTGGCAGCAGTGGGACCCGGCCGAGCCTGGGGGTTCTCGGGGGTGCCGGAAGCCGGCAGTGCCGCGCCTGCGCCCTGGGGTGTCGCGGGGGACAATGGGAACGTCGGTGTGGCACCCGGATGCCGTGGTCCTTCCCGCCCCGGCGCCTGTGGCTGGGGAGGAGGTGCTGCCTCTGGGGGGGCCCCTGTGGTCATGGCCTGCGGTGGGGAGAATGGGGGACTCATGGGGGGACCCAGGCGTCCGAGGCCTGTACCCACACCGAGGGTCCTGTGAGGGACCTAGGCATCGGGGCATGGTGACCCAATGGGTCCCATGAGGCACCCAGGTGTCCGGGTCCTTCTAAGGGTCCCGGAGGGGCACCCAGGTGTCCGGGTCCTGCCAAGGGGACCCAAATGTCTGGGTCCTGCCAAGGGTCCTGGAGGGGCACCCAGGAGTCTGGGTCCTACCAAGGGTCCAGGAAAGTACCCAGGTGTCCAGGTCCTGCCCACCCCACAGCCCAGGAAGGTCATGGGTTTCCCCTGGTGTCCCCCCATTCCCCGTCGCCTCCCCCGCTCTGGTGTCCCTCCCTCCTCGACGCGGTGTCGCAACTCCCCGTGGCCCCCCGCCAGCCGCCTTCCCCGAAATGAGGAAGGACCCAAGCGTCCGGGCAACCCCTCCCCCATGCCCATGTGGGTGGACCCAGTCATCTTGTGGTTCCCAGCCCCCCCCCCAGGTGGATCCAGGGGTCTGGGGACCCCCTCTCAATGGGTCCCAGACTCTGTTGGCTTGGGTGGACCTAGGGCTCTGGGCAGACCCTCCCTAACCCCCCCACCCAGGTGGACCCAGATGTTTGCCCCCCCTCCCCCCTTTGTATAGGGGTGGACCCTGGCGTCCAGGGTGCTGGTGTGGGCGGACCCAGTCGTCTGGGTGCTGGTTACCCATTAACCAGTGGCGCCACCATAAAGGGACCCCCCTGGACCCCCCTGTCTCCATCCCCTGCTACAGCCATGGGGGCTCCGGTGCTGCCCCTCTTCCTCGGCCTCCTGCTGCTGCATGCGGCACCCACCTATGCCAACATGTGAGTCACTGGGACCCCCCCCC